AATCATGGCACAAACTCCGTGACGCACATGCGTAGCAACAAGACTGATACATAAAACAAGAAGACAATAAGGACCATCGAAAAGTAATAAGAAATTGATGAGAACCCCCATTTTACTAAATAAACAAAGGCTAAAGCAAGAAAACTTTAATCGAAATAACATGTAATCTGCCTCACTTTCCAATGAGTTTAGACATTTTATGTAAACTTTTTATAATGATACATTCTATTTTTTGGCCATAACATGTACAGACAAAACCAGGTAATTCTGATTTCTTGGTCTAGGGGTCTAGGGGACTGGTCTAGGGGGTGGAAAAACCCGTCCAGTCTGAACAGAGGGTCTGCATGGGGGTTCCTTGCAGTGCATAATGCTACATTCTACAGAATTGGTAACGTTACCAACATTAGTGCCCTTATCCCCAAGCTGATTGTTTGTTTAGCCTGTCAAAAAAAAATTACTGTAGATCTGCTTTGAGATTTTGTTTAGGGGTGAAGGATTATCCGAAAACTTGTGGGATGTATTACAGTACTCTTAATGTTTAAACAAGATAGGTTAACCCAGGAGGTTATTTTCAACATTGGATAAATCCAATATTTCTTTGAGAAGAAAAAAAAATGTAAGCAATTAGTATAGCAATCATTTCCCGCCAGCTGGCAAACTCAATCAATGGTTTAAAGTTGGTAATATTTCATTCCTGCAATGAACAAGGCCATAATTGGTACTGACCTGCTAAAATGGTCTAAAGGAACATTTATGTCCAGACTAGTATGACCAAGGAGCTTCCATGGTATGACGCATCACATTTGGTGCCTACTTGGAAGACAAACCAGAAACTAGGCATGGCACTGGCCACCCAATATCTTACGTTACGCCAGTACAATGACATATATCATCCGATATGTCCTTAGCTAGCCACACATTCACATCTTATCCGTTGTCCCGACATAGTAGTGTCTTGAATAGCGGCTATTTGGAGTTTCTATCAAAACCAAGCCTACACCCCATGCAGCCCCACTTTTTGTCAGCTCCTGCACTTGCCAGGCCAAACAAGTGTATTTTTAGTGCAGTAAATGCCATCGAGGGTGAATCTTCGAGGAAACAAGTGAAGTAATATCTGGCCTTGCTTTTGACCCAACTTTAGAACCGTTTTGGCCAAAATTGAGGAAGATTTCAATCACGAAACTGGTGTGACGCAGTACGTGGGGAGGGAAACTACCGCGAGACAAAGGGATTCCTCAACCACCTGTGGATTCCGACTCCTACAAACCACTTCCCGGGACACCAGAGGACAGAACTACAGTCAAGGCAAGTTTAAAGCACCCTCTACGTGGTTTTGTTTAACATTTTCTCGGAATAGAGGCATTTTCTGCGTACAACGACTACTCAAACCGGTGTGGGTAAATTAACTCGGCGTGCCTTACATTGTTTACAAGTGCCACCATCAACATGCCACCAAAGAGAAACAACAACACTAACATAGATGAAGAAGTGCCAGTTAGTGTTGCTTTTATGAAAGAGATGTTAGAACAGCAAAAGGTCTACTACAAAGACCTTCTGGATCAGCAAGAAAAAAAACTTTCGTTCATTTGTACAAATAATCACAGATTCAGCAAATCAAAGGATGGATAACCTCGTCAGAGAGATGCAAGACTTAAAAAACAGCTTGAACTTCTCACAAGGAGAGATCAGAGACACGAAAGAAACAAGTGACAAGAATGCAGACAAATTAAAACAGCTGGAACAGAATATTATGACGCACAACAATGAAGTGACCGAGATGGCAAACAAGCTGGTCGAGAACCAGTCCAGAAGGAACAAACTCTTCTTCGACGGTATCAAAGACGACAAAAAAGAGACATGGGAACAGTCCGAAACTAAGGTGAAATCGAGCGAGCTCATCGCAACGGCAATCCTGGGGACCGACCACGCCCTATTGTGGTCAAGATGCTTCGATACAAGGACAAACAGAACATTCTAAGGCAAGCGAAGATGCTCAAAGGAACACAGATCTTCATAAACGAGGATTTTTCGGACAAAATCAGACAGAAGAGAAAAGATCTGCAACCGGCACTACGGGCGGCCAGGGAACGAGGACAGGTGGCCTATATACGGTTTGACAAACTGGTCATCTCCGACCGCAGGACTGCTGATAACTAGAACTGTACGGTATTTACCATACAGAACTCATGCCCTGTTATAATTTGTGTGTGCATTTGTGCTATGTGTAATGAACCATTCATATGTCATCAAGAAATAATCTAACATCCAAGTTAACGCTTATTTCCTTAAATGTCAGAGGTTTGAATAACAGATTGAAACGTCGAAACATATTTAGATGGATACAGAACCAGAAAATTGATATTGTCTTCATCCAGGAGTCATTTTCGGCAAAAGGAAAATGAAAAACAATAATGGACTGCTGAATGGGGCGGAAAAATAATTTTCAGTCATGGCACAACTGTTCTCACTTACATATGTCACAAGCTTGAATATTCCTATAATGTAATGCAGCTGATTTATAGAATTCCCTCATATATTATAATAATAATAATAATAGAAAGTATCAATAGTTCAGTTATATGCTTTCCAAGTCTGCGAGGTTGACGACCCTCTTCTTCACACCGTCATGTAGGCAGAAAATACGGCCGTCGAGGGACCAACTGCTCCCATATTTTGTCTTGTTGCACGGAGAAGTTGGGCATTGTCCAGTCCCAAAAGTCCAGATCCACTGAGTTTTGCTTTTAAAGTTGCAGAGAAGAACTTTTGGATGAGTCACTCACTGTGTGCATATCGATATTGTGTCACTCGTGTATGAAATGTATTGTGAGTCGCTCATCACATATACAACGAGAGTAAACGATCACCCCGGAGTAAGTTTGTTTGTGGTAAGGAACCTATATCATGTATGTACGTACCCTATGTGCACATGTTATCTTTAACGCAAGAACACAAAAGACACTAGCAAACAGTGACATTGTTTCTGAACACTTTATTATACACATTATCATGAATGTACAAGGCACTCGCAAGTCAAAGAACGCCGGGCGTTCCTATACGTTATATCAGATACGAAATCGATAAGATACCCCAAAATGTTAATTTTAGCACATGTCAAAAATATCGTCTTCTTTCACAGACAAATACACATCAACGAATCAAAACTCCAACCTCCACAAGCATGCATTAGATCGACAATACATGTATGTACTACTATACAAAGATTCAAATCAATTAAAATTCTACTTTGTGAGAAATAAAGCTTCAAAATAGCCCAAAATGTTAATTTTAGCACATGTCCAAAATATGGCATACTTTCATGCATAAGTTCACAGCAACAAAACAAGACTCCAACCTCCACAAGCATTTATTTTATAGACAATTTATAGGGTTACTCATTATTCAAAGTAGTATGGGATTGCTGCTTTAATTTTGTTTATATTGTATCTGAAAGATGACATTTTTAAAAAAAATGTAAAGTATGACCTACATTCGAGGACAACGATATCAGACCAAAGAATTGGCCCAACTTTGCACACACGCATTTTATAGCACTTATTATCATGTAACTGTTATTTTAATTTGAAGGAACAAAATCTTTGGAGTTACATCGCTTCAAAGATGGGCAGAAATAGGGATATTTCATAAGCCAAAAACACTGTATTGCCTTAGGGATGCCCAGGCCCTTAAAACGGACCTCTCAAAAATTCTAAAGCTATTCTGGACAAGCAGATAAGTTTGTTATTTTAGAACAGATTTTGTTTTTCTGCAATATTCAAGCATTTGTTTGTAATCGCGTCCTACACTTTGGCAATGATGGGAGGCGTTTCTTTTTTTAGATAAGTATTGGGCAGGGCTGTCTTGTGGGAGAGGGCAGGTCCGTTTTTGGTACGGGGGATGTGGTGAAGCCATTTAATGCATTTGCGCTCCCGAGCAAATGTCCGCCTTCCTAGTTTTAAATGTAAAATGTAGGAAATCTACAGAAGGCAAAATTCATCCTGGACAAAAAATGCAAGCGATTCTCCAAGTTTTGATAGTACCATTTATTATTATGATTTCACCACATCACGTGTTCTCCCTCGCGTTTCTTTTTCTCCTGACATTTCGTTAAATGGTTTCAATTTCGTTATGTTTGGGTCAAATGACGTGAAATTTGGCATGAAGGTGGCATGCGTGGCTAAACTCCCCCAGACGTGTTTTTCCTTCCATGGATACAGGCTAAGCCGCTTTTAAAATTGTTAATAGCTTTTTTGGCCATTTGTAGGCAAAAAATATACATTTTGGGATTTGGGGCCCTGGTATTTAATCCGAATGACCTAAAAGCTCGGTATGGGTATACCTTGGACACATGTCCATAGAATTTCATTTACGCGTTTGAAATACACTACTTTAGAATTGTGTAAAATAGGCCTTTTTGGCTGCAATTTGGTATGGAAGATGCTTGGATACAAGCCCACAAATCATGAAGAATGGGACTGTTTTGCTATTTTGGGGCTGATACAAAAACCAAAATAACATGGAATCCAGCATAAGGTAGCTTGGCGCCAAATTGTCAGTCTTAAGTTTTCACAATTTAGATTCGGCGCTTTAAAATACCTTTATTTGCCTTAATTTTACAGTAAAAAAAGGGATTGTAGATTGAAAACCAGAATCTCCAGCTGAGATAGAACACAAGTTTTACCATGGTTCTTCAAGTTCTAACAACAGAAGGCGTTGGACGATTCCATTGCTTCTTGGGGATAGGGTTTTGGAACACTTTACATTTTGGACAGGGGTGACTTAGGAACAATCCATTTGTGCGGCAGAGGAATAGGTCAATCAACGGGTGATGTAGTGAAGAAATTTGCCGCATTTGCTCACGAGCAAATGTTGGTCTGTCTAATTTAGTATTTATGTGCTTATGCGACCCCTCACCCCCTTTTGAATACTTGAAAAGCGGCCAAGGCCGATAGTATAACTTCAAAGTTAAACAAAGATGGGGAAAATGGTGAACCAGACGGGCTTCAGGCCTCCTCCAGACTTAACTTCTCCATGGCAACCAGTCTCAACTTCTTCCGGTCAACCTTTTTCAGGAGGGAAAAAACAGACAAACCTTAACGTATAGTGGCGTCGGTGGCGCAACGGTTAGAGCATCGGACTCGGAACCGAGAGGTCCCGGGTTTGATACTCAGCGTGACCCAGGTTGTGCCCATGGGAAATACACTTTACACGATTTCGCCACCTATACGGTGAAGTGACGCCCACCGAGCCTCTTAGGCTAATCTGTCTGACTGGGTGCCAAAAAGTACCTTACGAGTTTGGTGCGCCGATGTGACAACATCTGCACATTAGCCACTGAGAGCTGTTATTTTTTTTTACATGTACTAAACATTATTTTAGACTCATAAAAAGAATTCAACTTACAGAAATGCATTTAAACTACTAAAATATGCAATTAGAACAAGAGATACTATGATTCTTAATAAAAGCAATAGATCTAGACTTGTTAACAATTTTACAGGTACTACGAGTACCACATGCCTATCAACATAAACATAACCACCAGATGGTATATTCTATTTTTAGAAATAAGACCGCCTACCTTGTTTTGTGTCGAAGTCATCGGAAACTTTTCCATGTAGAGGAAATATCTGGGTGTTTCTATCGGAGCCAGCTTTAGAAGAAACAAAAAAAGAGATTCCACAGTTTTTAATCAAACACGGATTATACGATTGCATGATATCATTATTGCATGTTTTATTCCTTCATACCATGATTACACAGTACACATTCCTGGCGACCATAGCCTCCAGGATTCAGCGTCACAACACCGTTGGATGAACTGAACTCCAATCATATGAAACATACACACGTATGTTGCGTGCAGTACTGACACGTCATGGCAGCAACATCCAAACAAGGAGGAGCTCTACGGTAACATCCAAGCAGTGTCAAAACTCAGCAGACAGCGGAGGTCAAGATTTGCATCACATGTTTACAGAAGCAAAAATGGAAAAAAAAATGAACTAAATAGCAAATTGGTCCTGTGCTGTGGGAAATTAAACAGGGACATGCTAAACCTGGGCGTCCTTGCACGACGTACATAGCCCTACTGGCTGGTGATATAGGGCTACCTAAGGAGTACGAGCGTACCTGGCCGGCGCCATGATGGATAAAGCGGACTGGAGGGAGAGGGTCTGGGACCAGGAACCCCCAACCAGATGATGATGAAACCCAAAGTCCGACCATGGCGGTATCGCTATTAGTATGGCCGGTATAACCACCCTTCGGCGTAACACACCAGCTTCGCAGGCACGCGGCGCGGCGGCACCTAACTATATCACGACTTGTTACACTCAATCTTTGTACATTTAATTGCAGGAGTTTTTTTAAAGCTTTCTACTAGTAATGCTGCCTCAGCTGTGCTTGGTTGCAAGGAGTTTCAGTATACGATAGTTCTGGGGAAATACGATTTTTTTAAACCTCGATTCTTAATTGATAACGCTGATATTTGAAGGCATTACTGCAAATGACTCATGCAGTTTAAAGTAGTAAAATGCTACATTATGCATATATCAAACAAACGAACCTCACATATAACTATAGCTACCTGTTTTGTGGTCAAGCTTTGGCAACAACAAAAACACACCCGATCTCGGTGTTACATTCATCGGGTGTGTTTTTGTTGTTGCCAAAGCTTGACCACAAAACAGGTAGCTATAGTTATATGTGGGGTTCGTTTGTTTGATATTTGCATAATGTAGCATTTTACTACTTTAAACTGCATGAGTCATTTGCATTGCCCAACTCTTTTCAATGAATGCGGTGAAATTTCTTACAGTGTCCGTTTTGTTGTTCGTCTTAAACACGGGACGTCCTTTTTACGTCTCATTCAAGATTACGCCCCCTGCCGAGCATAGGTTCTCAACTTTAAGTCAAGTGAAGAAATGTGTAAATTGCCTTTCCTAAGGGCACAGCATTGTGGCCTGCTGAGATTCGAGCCTAGAATCTTAAGTTTTAAGTAAACAACTCTGTCACCTACAGTCACGAAAAATTATATTTAAGCATGCTTCAATTCAATCTTGCTGTTCTTCATGCAAACTTTACTAATCATATCCCTGTACATAGAGATTAAAAATCATTTCGTATATGTTTCCGTAGTACTGGACAGATGCGATATCATATACTTTTCCAGAGCCTTTACGGACCTTTGACGAACGTAAAGGCTTAGTAAACAACTGACTTTAAGTACTACCTGTCATTTTGATTCTACTGTTTGATAATTGTTTAGCTCTGTTTCATTCTCCTCACCCCGATTTCTGCACAGAACTCTGTCATTTCCTCTGAGTCTGTAGTTTGTCCTTGCTTCAAGCTGAAACAGATACATGTAAAATGATATGTGAACATTCTCAGATTATTTCTTCTCATAGTGACCATTCGCGTGGATTATTTGTGTTGGTAACGTCACTGAATCCGATACGAAACGCAAGTATAAACATTGAATTTGTAACTTTCGCTAGACGGTTATGTTTATATGTATATGTATGCAATGCCATGTATGTATGTATGTATGCATGTGTGTATATGTGTGTGTACATATATGGTTACGACAACTCAAGAAGCTTAATTTTGGGTGGACTATCATAGAAGTTAAGTATACAGAGTTTATTTACATGATGCATGCACAGATCTCCTCCACACTGGCCGGATCAGGCACACCAACAACCTGACGGAAGAAAGGAAATCTGCCATATACTTGCATTATGTACACCAACAGATTAGGCAAGTAAACACCGTGTTTTCACTTCCTTTTAGTGTTATTCTTAACACATATAGAATATGACGGGCTAAAACCACACCACGAGAAGGATCCTCCCCCATAACGGAACGGTACAAGGCCCTTGTGTGTCCAGGACTGTGCGCGGTCAGGTACCGTTCTCGGGCGTCCCCGCGTGTCCCAGAACGTAGATTTGCCCCAGACACAGTTCGGGACACAGGGGTCTTGTCCTGTTCCGTGCTTGGAGCATGAATAAGCATGATTGGCAGCGCTTCTGGGGAAAGTTCTGGACAGCGACAGGCTGTGTCACAGTGCGGTACAGACGCAGTTCTAGACACAACAGTGAGACTTTGATGTTTTAAACCAGTTTTCTTTCTTCTGAAAATAAGTACATTTACGTAATCATATGAATGGCATCCCTGTAGCTGTGCACCTCATGATTCATCCGTTTCCAAAACAAAACAAAATATTTGCGACCATACCGTTTCTTTAGGTTGGATCCCAGGGAGACGACATGGGGCTCAAATTACCACTTCTTGCTTCACCATATTTTTGAAAATCAAAGAAGAACATAAACGAAGAGCCCATTGTTTGGTATACAGAGTATCATGTGCTCATTTATTTGTCTAACCTTCCTGATCGCTTAAATTTCATAATGAATGCATCTTTTGCCCCAACTTTTCGCACGCTCTCATAAGTTTTAGAGTTTTCAAAGGATGTCATCCATATAATAAAATCAGTGTGGCAGTACATCCTAAAATTACAAAGCTATAGCATTGCTTCAACTTATTTGTTTATTTGTTTATTATGATTTTTCACAAAGTGAAAGGGAGGGCAAAGCAGGTGCATACACACCTTTACAAGTTACCCGCCCCCATACAAAAACACGTATACAACATCATATACAACATCAAAATTATCATCGTCAATAACAAGTAAAAAAAAAGATCAATATAGAAGGTTAAGCATAACTAAATTACATGCATATCTTATAAGTAGTTATGATATATTGTGTTGATAAAATAAGACTTAGTGCGGTCTGGAAACAATACTAGAACTACACCCACAAGAAGTGGTCCAAGTACATGGCAGGTCAATACTGTAATGTGTTTGAAATCTATTGTGGGTGACTTTGAGTAGTTTATACTTAAAGATATAATATCCGACTGATAAGCTGCTCGTTCACCAGTACCACGGAGGTCAGAGCCTGACTTATTCCAAATAGTGACTAAGCTGGGGATGTATGTGTGACTGAATGCTGATTTTTTTAGGTCGAAAAGGGGTTAACATATGTGTTCTGGCACTTCTAGTGGGAAAGGAAACAAACTTCTCCACAATAGCCCTAGACTTAACAAATAACATGATGTCCTCAACTTTACGCCTAAACGTGAGAGGTAACAAACGCAGTGTCTCCAGTCTTTCCTTGTAGGTAAGGTGATTAGCCCGGGGACCTAGGATGAATTTGTTCCCCGGCGTTGCACTCCTTCGACTAGAGATATTAACTTACGAGAATATGGAGACCACACGGGAGTGTGGAATATTCCAATATTACAACTTATGTATATTGATTCACTGCACCATGATTGTATTGCAATGAAATATACATTTTAGAAATATGACAAAACAAGAAGAACTATCCCTTTACTCCCCTGTATCTGAAACGCTGTGTGAACTTGTCACTCTTTATATCTTAATCTCCCGCCTTCTTAAGTTGGCTGCCCCCGAAAAGTGGAAGCTTACACGGGAGAAAATGAAAACAATTTCACACAGTTGAACTTCAGAACGTGCAGGGATAGCACGTTTTAATGATTAATGATCTAATGATTAATTGCAACATTGAATCTTAATAGATATTTTTGTCGCACATCCCAATGTATATATGTCGAGTAACGACATCATCAGACTCCTACTACATAATTCTGAGGCGTTTCCGACAACTTTTGGCGAAGGTATTGTCAGCTGGTCCGTAGACCATAAATAGGGCACTTTTTAACCTGCCTATTGTATTTTAGATTTGTGCATATAACGTTGTCGTCCCTGTTACGTGTATTTATGTGTATGGGCTCTGCCTGAATTAAAAAAATAGATAAGGAAAAAAATATAAATATGTATACACTTCATTGGTATGTGTGCTCACATGTTGCAATTAACCAGTCACCATTATCATCATTATCTTACCCTGACATCTTGCACCTTAGGATGTTTCGACAAAGATGACTCAATAAAAGTAGGATGGACGTTGTCTGCATCCCTAATGATCATATTCTGTAAGCAAAAGTGCGGTAGAAATAATACGATCGACCAGCATTTGACACACAGTACCCTTTTCAAGCAAGAAATCAGAGTTTTTAACCCAAAACAGTACACCTTCCTGGACTGATTAATCTGTACACCTGGGGTCCGCGCGGACCCCAGAGCATTTTTTGGCTAAATTTTAGAAATTATCAACATGCTACCAGCTCAATTGTTTTGCAAATCGATGTGTGAACCTCTGAGTTCACACTATGTACAAAAATCATACATTTTGACCTTTTACTATTTTTTGGTGAGGAAAATACAAAAAGAAAAAATACCCGATTTTTACACCCTATTCAGACCGAGTGGTTTTTTGAGGCCCGCGCCAACTTTAATCTCAAATTGCGCCTGAACGGCTTGACCAAGAACCATAAAATTTGGTGACCTTTCCTGAAATACACCCGGGAAAAAATTTCATATTAGTTAAATAAGTAAATGATTTTTTGTGCTGCCATGGCAACGGGTTTCTGACAGGCAGTTTTTTTTGGGGGGGAATCTGTAATTTTGGTTTAAACATAAAGATTTTCTGGGTTTTATATTAAATAACACTTCCTTTCTGACATTAATAACATCTTACATAATTAAAGATGAGTTAAATCATTTAATATTCATAATGTATGCTAATTTGACATATAACGTCATAATTACACCAAAGTTGTTAGAATTTAATTTTATTAGTACACCGTTCTCTGAAAATTTGGTGGCCATACGATAAGTGCATACAAAATAAAGTAATAAAGTAATGTATAAGAACGCCAGTGTGTCCATTACGATCTAAAGCCGGCTGGGGTCCGCGCGGACCCCAAAAGAAAATCAGATATAATTTTTTTTTAATGAGGGAAACTGAGTTTTCTGTGCTCTATTAAGGGACAACTTTGTGGGTGACAATTACCTGAAATTTCAGAAAAAAAATCTTTAGAAACAAAAAAAATATTACAGGATATCTAGTGCTGGGGTCCGTGCGGACCCCAGGTGTACTGTTTAGGGTTAAACATTGACCTTACTTGCTTGGAGGAGAAAAGGAAGAAGAAGAAACATAGCAAAAATAACATTTATTCATTCTGAAGGTAAACCTAAAAAATAAAGCAAAGCGTAGTATGTAACCAATGCTATGACAATACAATAGTTATCTTATTCTCACCGAAAATCTTCCCAAAAGCTTTAGGACACCATTTTCATCAAGAACGCCAACATCACTGTGTGGGCAGAAAATCAGATTTAAGTTGGTGGGGTTTGGTTCTAAATACTACTTTACTTATGGCGTTAGAGTCTGAACTTCGGTCCCTTTAATCTTTTTGTTAGCGACCAACTAGTATATTCTACATTGTTCAATAGCTTGATCAACATAACCGTACTTCATTACTGGATTCGGAACATTTTGACCATATATAGGTGCTGCACATACCCTGTTTTGTACCATCCGTCAGCTGTCATCGCCTTAGCTGTTTTCTCCTCATCTGAACGGTAACGTTTGAACAAAGAGTACCCCTTCACATACACCTCTCCCTCCTGGCCTAGTGGTACAACCTGGCCATCTTTGTCGGCAATCTTTACCTGGTAAGGTAGGCAGAGACAGTGAGCCGTTGTAAGATAATATCTAGCGTGGTACGTCCACCTTTTACGTTGTATCCAGAGATTTCGAGAGCTTTGTTTTACCCAGAACCATGCCTGCATGGGGCAAATCTAGACGTTCTTGGGCAGGCAAAAATCTCTCCAGAACCGGGCCTAATCCTAACCCTGGCTTATTTGGGCATAGAACTAGTGTATTCAGATGTTTTATTCGGAACTGTTCTTTGAACAAACACCGTTGTGCACAATAGACCGACCATGTAGCCCCTCGAGCCATCAAAACGTGGAAAGCTAAACTTTAGTGAGAGGATATAGATACAGCTGCTTTAAGGGCATGCAGCAAATCTTTCATTGCTCGAACGGCGAACTGCTAAATTGCTATGTTATCATTGGTGATATCATTGTGATGGGCATTCAGGATCCTAACCATATGTGATGTAGCAGTAACTTTACTGTACCTCCGCATGCGGTACCAGCTTGCCCACCGTGGCCCCTCTTCCTTCCACAACCATCTCGGCTGCCGCTGTTGTCAAAGTCATGAATTCTGTGCCACCATAACCAACCTTTAGAGTGGTTCAAAGAAAACGATATGTCAAAATTCCGAAAAAGAATAATTCTGTAAGTGTACTCATGTGCTAATGATTTACGTTTGTGGTTGATTTAGGGTAGTTAAGGTACATTTGAGTCCTTTTCATTTGCCCTTTCCTTGGCATAACTAGCAAACCGACATTAGACATAACACACATGGCATTGTATAATAAAACACAGTCGTCCTTTCATTGTAAGTTTCTTTCATTTATAAAGATCCCAATGTGTACAAACATATAGTACTCAAATCAGAGACTGAATTTATCAAAGTTTCTATATAAGAAATAGGAAAACACTAACAAACATCTTTGCTTTCGGAAGAACTTTGGCAGCGTGATCAAGTAGACTCTTTTGTGCAACGTTGCCTGTGACATATACTGCAAATAAAAAACATCAAATAATCTTGCAGATATCTTTAAAGGTAGAATATCAGCATAACATGACGTTCCTAGCTTCTCGAGTGTCGCTAACGGAAAACTGTTGCTAGTACTCGTTTTGTATTTAGTAGATATAGCAAAACGGGATGCTGTAGAATTTTTTTGCTGAATACTCATGCATATTACCAATCTTGTCCTAAAAATAGCTAGTTAGGGGATATTTATTTTTCACTTCAAGTAAAAAATGCAAATATAAGACAGATATCCTCATCCAGAACATTTTTGTTCAAACAACTATGCTGCAACAAAAATTATTTGCTGACTTCAATGAGTATAAATTTCGACATTCACTTAACATCTCTAAAAACTTTCTAAATGTATGTCTACATACTAATTACCTCGTTCAAGTGAGGACAGGTCGTATTCATCCAAGTGAGGACTATGCAGCAAGTCATGGCAATCTTTCACAAAGATTGCGCTGATTGACTTGCACCTGAACAATGGAATAAAGACGACTATTTTTAGGCTGGTGGAAAGAGCAGTCCAGTTCGACCGGCGGAAAGAGCAGTCCATTTTTGTTACCGATCGGACTAGACTGCTTTTTCAACCAAACCGACTATTATTAGGACGACAAAAACATCTTCCCCTGAAACATATGTAAAGTAATATAGCGAATGGAAATGAGAGGCTAGTTCCTTTTCATGAATAGTTTATACTAGCTGAGTCGTCATCCAATTACGATAAGCGATATTGGAGTATGTTTGGCTAGTGCATGTTTCTGTCACGTCTCATCTAAATCCGTGGTTAATGTTAAGAATGGGATTTTTGCATGATCCAACAAAAACACTTTGAGAACATATTGCAAACATGTGAAAACATTGAGACCAACAGATTTTCTTTCTGTAATCAGATGTAGCTTGTTTTACTGAGCAACATCATATTAAGTATTATTACTCATTGATTATTTCGCTATTACACTATGTCTTATGTTTCATAAATTCCTAGCCACAAAAGTGTTAACCCTATTCGAGGACCGGGGGGGGGGTCGTTTGAGGCCCGCGCCAACTCTCATCATACCAACAATTTCATGTTAACTAGATAAGTTCCTGTTTTTTGTGTTGGTAACGGGTTTCTGACAGACAGGTTTTGGAAAAATCTGTAATTTTTGCTCAAACTTTAAAATTTTCTACGTTCTACTTTAATTTACACTTCCTTTCTAACATTAGCAACATCTTATACCAATATGTATAATTTCCATCATTAAAAATTCATAATTTATGCTAATTTGATGACGTCATCGGTCAAAATCCAAGATGGCAGACCATATAATTAGCTCTTGCCTTAACCTTTTTTTTCACTAATTTTTCGTCTCAATTACAACTCCGTATTCTTTTACATAAAATGTTCATATGAACATCTTAGTCCCTTTGTGTTGCAGGCTGTGTTTTGAAAAAAATGCATTTTTTTCAAAATTCAAGATTTCCTATACAATATGGCCAACAGCTTTTAAAAATATGCATGACCATCGTGAAAAATGAGACAATCTGTGTGTGTGTGTGTGTGTGTGCGCGCGCGCGCGCGCGTGTGTGTGGATTTCTGCGCGTGTCTTTGTGTGTTTGTGTGTGTTTGTGTGTGTGCGCGTGTGACCGCTAAATATAATCACCTCTCCTCCTGAATTATTTGCATGATTTCAACAGGTGACGGGGACAGACTGGCAGGAACAACAAGTGTGCAGCCGGCAGTGAAGGGGTAGATCACAACCCACCACAATGGTAAGTATGGGTAGAGTGCTGTACCCTATCAGCACAACAAAACAACAGTACAATTTAGTGCTCAAAACATGTATACAATGCACAACGTATGCCACCAACCCTACTAATCGTGTAGACCAACCAACCTTACAAGAATACACAGTTGAAATATTGATGGAATTATAATGACTGGCTCTTACTAGGTATTTAAAATAACGTTGACCTGTATATATTCAATATTAAATGGATAAGTCTATTTATAATTCATATAAGTCATTATGACTTGATGTCTTAGATTTTAAAGGGAGCTATATTTCAGGATTTTAAAGGGAGCTATATTTCAGGCTGTTGCTGTTATTAAATCGATTTCATTACATACAAAATACAAATCCTTGATATCACATACAGATAAAAATATTCCCATACCTACACATATAGAGTGTAACTATGGACTTTTGTATAATCTGCCATGTATTCACTGACATAAAAATATTACATAAATACTTTTGAGCGGCTCATGTTTCTTTACTGACTTACCTCATTCGGCAGACCGATGGCCTTGCACAGAAAGTGCATGGTGTTATGAATAGCGTAAGTGCTCTGCTCGGCACACTTAGCGGGACCGGTACTTCCCTGTATAGCATAGAGCCATGTTGATTTGATTATATGGATGACATCCTCTGGGAACCCCCAAACAGACGCAAGCGTTAGAAGTAAAAAAAAATTCAAACGAAAGTTTTCTTCATTATGAAATCTACATATTCATAAACGTTGAACAAATAACTAAACAGAGCATGATATGGGTATAATAATAGACTCTTCATTTTCATTTATTCGTTTTCCACATTTTTTTTTGCAGCAAACAACATATATTTGCTCATTTTGTACGATTAACAGTATAGTTGAAAACTTTTTGGGGGGGGGGCGAAAATTCATGCGCGCGCGGATGTCATCCATATACTTAAATCAAAAACAACAAAATCGAGAAAAAATGAATCTTTCGGGTTGTAGATATTGTATTCTCTAATAAATTACATCAATATATTTTAACGGAAGCTAAATTGCTTTGACTCAAATTTGACTGTAGTAGTGAAGGAAATAGTACTGATATACTTTTGCCATTACATTTTAACTTAAAATGAAGACTAAATAGCTGCTGTCAATTAAATTCAAACATGCTGTGATGAAAAAGTACAAAGATGTCACAGGGATCGGTCATTGAAAAATAAAGACTATACATTTATAGACAAAAAACTTCCAGACTGTATCCACCATCTTTCCTCAGCTTAAAGGTAGTCACTTGGCTT